GGTAAACAGAATCAGGAAAGAAAAGATCATCCAAGATGGAGACACTCAGGCTGGGGACATAGCTCCCTGGCAAAGCGTTTATGTGAGCGAGGCCCTGGGTTCAACCCTGGCACCACAAACAAACAAACAAGTGAAACTGTAAGCACTCTGCAAGCTTCAGGCAAGGGTTAGAAAGAAGACCCACTGGCATGGGGCACATAAGCATCTCGCCCGCACTAGTGAGCAAAGAAGCTCGAGTTCAAACCTGATCAACTCTGCCAGCCCTCAGAGTTCTCCCGGGGTTCGGTGCCCTTCCAGCTAGAACGTGCCTTTCAAATGTTCACGGCACTCCTAGGAAAAAGCTCATTCTGTGGCACCACTCAGTACAGATGCACACACTTCTGATCTATTTAATTCTGTTCAAGTTCACTTTTTTTTTTTAATGGGGGTCTTCTACATTGCCCAGGCCAGCCTCCCCAGTAAACTGGGATTATAGGCATGGGCCACCATGCCCCGGGCAATTTCACTTTTTAGAAATGATCATCGTGACATACTAAACTCACTCTGTGACTCCAAAGTTAAAATACTGCTCTAGAATATATACTTTTAAAACTCTACAATTTTAAGGTCAGAGGCTAGGAATACAGCTCAGTGGCAGAATGCTGCTTAGCATGCACCAGGCCTTGGGTTTAAGCGCCAGTACCACACACACACACACACACACACACACACACACACACACACTGTCAAGGTCACATCTTTCTTATACAAACAAATCTGCATCCCAACAAAAAAAAGCAGACCAAAGAGTAAAATAATTGACAGAAATGAACAGAGCCATGGCAGCCGGGGAGTGGGAGGAAGCTAACCCTAATCTGCCATCAGCTTCCCCAAAGCCATCCCAAGTAAATAGTCTGAGGAAAACAGCATTCACTCAGCAAAAACACTTAGTGGCACCCACCCCCAGGACCCCAAATACCCACCAGCCAGTCTCGGGCCCCCGGACTCTCACTCTATTCAGAAATCCAGAGCTTCCACTTAGAGTAACTGCCTTATACTATTACAGGCAGAGAGATGAGTTAAATGTGTCTGAGGATATGACTTTATTAAAATAAGTGAAAATCAAAATAAACATTTTAAATGAAGCAGACAGAAGTGAATCACAGCTGAAGCTGCTCTCTCTTCTGGTATTAGCACGAGGCAGCCTGAGACTCGTCCTTGATGCAAGCTGTCTGGACAGCACCTTCTGCTAGAGAAGTTACCACGGCGCTACCTCGTACTAGGTGCGATCTACAGGTCAACAAGCTGCACTGTCTTCAGAGTACTTTCAAGAAACACGTCCCCCAGAAAAGACAAAGTCAGAAACGGGCAGAGAGAGCAGAACATCCCTCTTCCCTCTTCCGCAGCCCTGAGCAATTCTCCAGCTCCGAGAATGTACACGGAATACCACAACGGCCATCCACTGGACAGCCTGGTCCACACCCAAGAGCCATGTCTGTCTTTGAGGGACTCTTTCTATTTTCTCCAGTCCTGAAGACTGAGCCCAGGGATCACTGAGCAACATCTCCAGCCTGTTTTTCTTTTCTTTTCTTTTTGAGGGAAAGTCCTACTAAGTTGCCCACGGCGGCCTTGAACTTGCAATCTCTTACCTCAGTCTCCTGAGTAGCTGGGATTACAGGCGTGCACTAAGGGACTGACTTTTTGTGATGTCTGCCTCAAATTAAAAGGCAATTTCACAAACTTTAATAAATCTTGTTTCTCCAAAAGAAATCTAGTTAGCAGAGGTGCTAGGAAATTAAACCCAGGGTGTTTGTTATACGTGCCAGGCAAGTGCTCTACAACCGAACTACGCACACAGTGTGGAAATCTGTTTAAAATTAGAAAAAGATGTTCCTTTTATAAAGATAAAATGCAATTTTCCCAAGGAAATGGAGAAAGCCCAAATGGCTGTGCATTAGCTCTAACCAGGAGAACTTTGTGGTGATGAAAGTGTTCTCTATCTGCACTGATCCAGTGGTCACCAAGCACCTGGTACTGAGTATCTGGATGTGGCTGGTGTGACTGAGCCAAATTTCCACGTCTCATTAAGCCACTTCCCTGCGGGGCAGTGTAGGTGAGGTAATCACCAGTACTCAGCAGCAGAGCTGAATGATTGTTTTGTCCTACACCAAATGTCACAATTTGAAAAATTACTGTTCTATACCAATATTCAATTTTAGCATTTTTCGGGGGGGCAGTTTTGAGACAG